TATGGGCCTGTGACTATTCTTCGAACCAGATGTGTATAAGAGACAGATATTAATCATCAATCAAAAAATAAAAACATATTTATATAGTGGCAATATCAAGAAGTGTTCAGTGGCGCTGTTACACTTTTTCAGAATGCTCTTGAAAAAAGGTAAGCTTTCAGATTGCTCTTGAACACATTCACATTTGGTGAGTTTCGTATTTCAGCGGGCACTTTGTTCCATAAATATGGTGCAGCACAGCAAAAAGAACGCTTCCCGAAAGATTTCAATTTCCATCTGGGTGTGTATAACTGATGTTTTTTAGAAGACTGAAGGAATCTTGATGGTTGCAAATTCTGAAGAATGTTGCGTATATAGTTATGAGCATGACCATTGAGAGCTTTATAAGTTAACAATAAGGATTTTGAATTAAATTCTGTAGTGAACTAGAAGCCAGTGGAGATCGTTTAAAACTGGTGTCATGTGATCAGATTTCCTCTTCTTAACAATGATTCTGTCAGCTGCATTTTGTGCTCTTTGAAGACGTAAAATTAATGTATCAGGTAGTCCATATAGCAAAGCATTGCAATAATCAAGCCTGGACGATACCAGGGCATGAACAAGTACTTCACATGTATGCTGCGATAAATACTTCCTGATTTGACCAATCTTTCGAAGAAAAAAGTTGATTGAACGAGACATATTCATGACATGTTTTGGTGAGTAAGTGAAGTATCGAAAAGAACACCAAGATTCCTGGCTGATGTTACAGGCTGAATGAGACAGGAACCAATGTTCACACCCTCAACTTTTAATGGTAAAGGGATTAAACCTTGACTGAAAAATTACAACTTCCGTTTTTGAATCATTAAGCTTTAGTTTATTTTGTGTCATCCACATTTTTACAGCACTAAAACATACTTCAACTGAGTTGATAACGGCAGAAAAATCTGAGCAAGAGAAAGATAAATATATGTGTGTCATCCGTATACAAAATTGAGATTATGACACCATATTAGTTACCCCAATGGAAGTATATAGATGTTAAACAAGATTGGGCCCAGGACAGAGCCCTAAGGCACTCTAGAACATACACATTTCTAAGAAAATAAATGGCCGTCAATATTAACAAATTGAAGTCTGCCTGTTAAGTATGTACGCATCCACTGAAGAGCTAAATGCCCGATTCCCAAATCTGATAGGTGACGTAGGAGGATTTCGTGGTCTATTGTGTCAAATGCAGCAGATAAGTCTAAAAGTGTGAACAGCACACATTTTCCACTGTCAAGTGATAACAAGATGTCATTCTTTTTTGGTAAAGTTCTTTCGTCTATCTCAAAATAAGTAATTATTTTAGGGGACCTCAACATAAACTGGCCATGTCGATCTTCTAAGATATATAAGGACTATTATAATAATATGCTAAATTTGGTATCTTTATCACAAATTATTAAAGTCCCTACAAGAGTGACAAGTTATGTCATCTATTATCGATCATATACTTGTCAGTGATATCAGTAAAATAAGTATAACAAGGTGTTACTGAAGTTGGACTAAATGACCACTTCGCCACATATTGTACATATAAAAACTAAAAAATAACTGTCTCTCATAAACAATTACATATTAGATGTATTTAATGATATGTTACTCTCTAGGAATTGGTCAAATATTTTTAGCACAAATGATGTAAATACTGCATGGAGTAATTTTAAATATATTTTCTTATAAACTCTGGATCAAATTGCTCAATTAAAAACTGTACGTATAAACATAATACAGAAAAGTGGATGACTCCCGACATCTTAAGTAAGATTGAAAAACGAGATTGTGTTTTAAAGGCATTAAATAAGGATAAAAATAATGCTGTTCTCTGTGATCAATATAAGCAATTAAGAAATGCTATTCAAAAAGATATTTAAAAAAAAGGGTAAAGCTAAAATGACCATGAAAATTATGGAATTGTCTAAATTGTTTGGGAAGCAGTTAAAAGATAAAGCTTAAACAAACAATGTTGCACTAAAATTATAAAGCAATGTCTGTAATGACCCCCAGGAAGATTCTAACCACTTAAATAATTACTTTACTACTATTGCATCTACCCTTTTTGCCAAATTACCAACTCCTCCAAAATTATATGATGTGAATTCTAAATGTTTTAAACATTTTTATAAAAATAAATTAATAATATAAGATTTGATTTCACTATGGTCGATGAAGATACTGTTGAGATGAACTCAGAAGATTAGATTCGTCCAAATGTCCTGGTATAGATAAAATATCCCTCCACGTTTCCTGAGAGACAGTGCGGCTACTATAAAAACTAGTATAGCACATATTTTCAATCTTTCTCTTTCTCAATGGATAGTTCTAGACGTTTTTAAACTGGTTAAAATTAAACCAATCCATAAAAGTAATTTAAAGACTGATACTAGTAATCATAGGCCGATCAGCATATTGAATGCGGCATCTAAGGTTCTGGAGTTGTACAGCAAATCATATTTGAAAGCTATGTATCTGAAAACGAGCGAAGAGCATACAAAACTTCAATCTTCAAAAAAGGTACATGGTCAAAGCCTGAAAACTATCGACCAATATGTCAACATCTATGATGGGGAAAGTACTGGAAAGCATTATTCGAGATCATCTTGAGCATTTAGTTATATAACCATAGTCGTCTTATTAGTGATTCACAGCATGGCTTTCCGACAGGAAAATGTTGTACCAGAAACCTTGAATACCTCGAATATCTTACTAAATCTGTTGATGATTGAGCTCCAGTAGACGTAGTGTACCTTGACCTAGCAAAAGCTTTTGACACATTACTACATAAGAGATTAGTAAACCAAGCTTAAAGCCTGTGGAATCGATGGGAAAGTTCTTCAATGGATTCAGTCATGGTTATCAAATAGGAAACAGAAGGTTATTGCTCCGGGAACACAATCAGAATTTTAAAATGTTACAAGCTCTGTCATCCAAAGGTTCAGTATTGGGGCCATTGTGCTTCCTGATTTACATGAATGATATGGAAGACAGGATTAGTGAACTATCACAAATCAGCTAATTCGCAGACGATAAAAAGCTTTCCCACACTGTTACCACTCAAGAAGAAATTAGGAAAATGCAAGAAACCAACTCCAGACTTGGGCCGACAAATGGCAGATGAATTTTAATGCCAATAAATCTGGAGTTATACATGTAGGCTACCATAACCCACACAACACTTACACAATGGGAGGCAAAATACTAAAGGAGACCTGGGAATATTTATGCATAAGTCACTGAAAGTATCAACATAGTGTGCTGCTGCCTCAAAGAAAGCAAACAGAGCCCTTGGTATGATCAAGAGAAACTAATCTAAAACACATCATCCTCAGATTAGTGCGTCCTCACTTAGACTACTGTATGCAAGCATGGAGTCCTCACAAGGGAAAAGACAAAAAGTTGTTGGAAAAGGTCCAAGCACGGGTGACAAAAATTATCCCAAACTTAAAAGATCTACCATACGAGACACGATTATCAAGATTAAAATTAACAACACTTCGTAGAAACAGAGGTGACCTCATACAAACATATTGGATTGTAACACAGATAGATAAAAGCAAGTCTACAAAAATGTTTAAGCAAACTGAATACGAAAAAACAAGAGGACATTCTTACAAGATAAAGAAAGAAAGATCAAACTTAGATGGTAGGAAATACTTCTTCAGCCAGAGAGTTATAAATGACTGGAACAAACTACCACAGAGTGCAGTATCTGCTCCGAATCTACTCAGCTTCAAAAAAGAAATAAACAAGCTCATGGGTTTATAATGGGCCGAATAGCCCCTTAACCCTGCTGATTCAAGGCAAGGTAAATTCAAGCTAACTCCAAGGTGTGTAAGACGCTTAGCATTAATTTTAAGCGATTTGATATGATTCCACAAGTTATATATATATATATGTATATGTATATATATGTATATATAT